GATCTCATCGACTCCTACGCAATCCACGCAATTTTGCTCGTTACCGTCTAAAGTGATATGTATGTGCATGGCGATCCGATCGCCGCGATCGTGCCAGCCTGGCATTGCCAAGCACTTTGGGGCTCCCCAGCTTCCAAGCTGGTGCGGTATCATCATTATCCGATAATGAGTATCGAGTTCATCAGGATCAACATCAGTGTGTAACAGCTCATCATCTAATGCTACCAGGAGAGAACATCAGACGGACATTGTCCAGCAGGAACCGCACATCTACAAATTTCTTTTCACAGACCTCCTCCTTAGTCCTTTCCTTCTCCCATTATACCTGTAAAATTCTCGCACCGTTTCGCCTGGCATAGTAAACACAACAGTTACTTAGTTTAGAACAGGGCAGAGTTTTCAGTCACTCAGTTGAGTGGTGTCCTTCTACGAGGGAGTTGGGTGAGACCGCGCCTGGCAGTGCATTAGCATCTGAAGGCAACGAGCTGGTGGCTTTGGTAGCTCGACTACAACGTCTCTTTGGGCTAGCCGCTACCAGCCTCCCTCGTAGGAAGGTTAAAAAAAATTGGTGGAAACAAACCGTGCCTACACCAATACATTAATAAAGTGTAGTAGAAAAAGACAGAAAGACTTTACATCTTAGATTCTAGCTTGATGTACTCAATCGTGACGTACTCAGCCTTGTTCATAGCGTCACACAGACCAGGGGGACAGGATAGTTGTGTCAGAGGAGTGCTTCGCACTCCCCATAATTCTGGGGCTCCACGGAGACGCATTTTACGTCTGTTAATGGATTAACTCCGGTTAGAGACCACCTCTGTGTGGTTAGCACGCTTGACATAGATCAATTCTGTTCAAATTTCACCTTTCTCAGGATCGTTGCGTGAGTCTCCGCGTTAGCGCAAATGTATCACGTGTCTTACAACGTGCGGGAGCATAGGTTGAAGCCCTTGCTGCGTTGAACGCAGGGCGTTCCTCGAGGGTTCACTCGCCGTCAGGACCCAGGCTACTTATTGCAGTATCACCTCGA